GAGAGAGAGAGAGAGAGAGAGAGAGAGAGAGAGAGAGAGAGAGAGAGAGAGAGAGAGAGAGAGAGAGAGAAGTTGGGCATATAGCGTATGCTGACAGGGTAATGACAGGAGCCGAGGCTTTGACTGTCTGTAAAACAGCAAATAGAATTAGGAGGGTTGCACGGAGAAGGTGGCAGCCGTCTTTGGAAAGAGCGCCTGAAAAAGATGAGGACATGGCATTTGTTGTCTTTTGTTTTGCTGTGGGCTATTTGGAAGTGTCGATTTCAGGAAACAAATAGACGGCAGGGTAATGACAGGAACCAAGGTCTTGCAGTTTGTCAAAAGCACATAAAATTAGAGGGGTTGAAAGGAGGTGCCAGCAGGCTTTGGAAAGAGTGGCTGAAAAACATGAGGACATTCGTAGTATTCTTCCCGTTTGATACAGTATACAGAGTCAGGACATTATACTGCCCATCCACCAAAGGATGGACAGTTTTCCTTCCACGCTATCATTTTCCGGAACTTACTTTGGACCCGGCCGATTGGATCTGGCATGCTAATAGGAGGTGTAAAGCTCAGAGATTACAATCCCTGACGGCTAAGGCATCCTATAGGCTATTGCGACCCAAAATAAATGTTCAAGATATTGTGCAAGATCGCTGGGCGTGTCATCTCAACATCTATAAGGACCTACTCAAACCAGTTAAGTGGTGCCAGGGACTCAAGGAAAGACCTGCAAAGTCTGCATCATTGCAATGGCAGATAAATCATAGATGTTTACCAACTAATGCTTGGTTGATAGACTGCTCTACACTGGAACAAAGAGGTTTGGCTCTACCATGGTGTCACTCATGTGTTCAGGCCTTTCCCAGTAGGAAAATTAGGGAAACAATTGAACCTGTTTTTCTGCAATGTCCAGGTGCAATCCTGGCATTGGGACTGGAGGGCTATCCTCTTGGGTCACTGGAATCCGCCTCTGGTTTCAGTATCCAATTTTCAACAGAATTTCTTTAAAATAGGAAGGAAAGCGGTTTTGTGGGCTTTGTGGCACAAAAGATGTGTTAACACAATCTAAGGTGTGAAGATTGGAGGTAAGGAGATGGCAGAAATAATTCAACAATTTGTACAAACAGAACTCAGGGCTCAATGGGAAATGACAAAAATAGGTCTTATGAATCCTAAACAAACAAAAGATATTATGTCATGTCCCGACCAAACACGGACGGAGACACACAGCTGATTTCTGAGTTTTGCTCACGGACTGAATGCCTTGCTGAGTTTCCCGCTTGCCACTAAGTTCTGCATGTCTGTGTGTGTGTGTATGCTTGCTGGTCTGCATGTCTGTCTGAGGGCTGGTTGGCTTGAGTGTGTGTGTGACCCGCAAGGGTACTTGACCGTTCGTTGGGCCCTCAGGGCCGGTACTTACCTGTGGTCGTGACGTTGAGGGATTGCGACGGGGGAAAACACTCGTGTAGCAGGTAGGCCGGTACCGCACCCTGAAGAGGTAGCAGATGTGCGGGTACTGGAGGCCGAGCAGAAGAAGACAAAAGTGGCATTTTGAGAGGCCCAGTAGTTGTAGCCTTGTAGGCTAGGTCTAGGCGGGTACCAGTCCAACCAGTCTGAGTCTAGGGCCTGTACGGGCAATATCAGAGTCTGCAATGATGATTCCCTCCGAAAGGGAGGAGGTACTGGTTGTTGGGAAGGCCAAGCGGCCTGGAAGTCACCGCCCAAGAGGCAAGCAGGCCGCTATATCTCCAGGCCGGGCGAAGAGCCCAGCCTCATTGTCGGTGTGCAAGTTTGGCGACACACTGGTTGGAGCGCTGGCTGGAGCAGTACTGCTGGGGAAGAAGCAAGGACAGGGAGGAGGAAGAAGAGCAGGGGGAAGGGGGAGGGCCAGAGGTACTTACCTGGCTATGGTGGCAGCCATCTTCATCACCTTGGTGGGCGCTGCAGCAGGAAGACCCCAGCGGGGGTAGAGCCACACCAAGAAGCTTCGAGGTAGAGTCGGGCATGGCGGCCTGAGCTGGAGCAGCCATAGCTGCTTTGGGTTGTCCTTTGGACATCAGGGCAAGGCCCAGTAGTCCGCCATAGCCTCGGCCTATGAGAGTGAAGACTGAGGGAGGCGCCCATGTCTATGGTGGACCTCAAGTGATACCTGCAGTAGAAGAGGAACTCGGACATGATTCTGGATCAGCCATTCAACATTGTACTACTATTTCTTGTATGAATAAGAGAGGAGGAGTGAAGGAGAAGGAGAGTGTTGGGCAAAGAAGAAGAGCTTTGTCATTTGTCTATGCTGGTGTACATCGTCGTCTTCTTCTTTCTTTCTTCTTTTTTCTTTCTTCTTCTTCTTCTTCTTACCCTCTCTTTCCTCCCAAGTTCATTCATTTCTTTCTGCAGTTGGACGACATTATACTATCTGATGAATGTGTACCTCGAAATTGGCCAGGATCATAACATTGGTATTAGAGCGGATTCTACTTGCTGGTGAGAGTTGACTTATCCACCCTAACCCTAACCTAAGTGGTAAGAGCTAACCACTTAGGGTTAGGGTTGGTCCGAAGTGGGAAGTGGGGCAGCGTGGCTTAGGGAAGCTGCCCACACCTGGTTAGGTCATGTTGGGTCAGCATTGAACCTGACCAGGTTGATTGTGAGTATGTAAGTGGTGGCGAGACACATCAAGAGGACTTCATGCGACAAGTTGAGAGAGGTGACAGTGAGAGGCACTCGCACCTGGAATCTGACCTAAGGGAGACACTTGGTGACTTGAGGGCTCCCCTCAAGTAGCCATTCTGCATCTACGGACTGCAAGCTACTACTTTGTTCTTCAACATCGGCGGGGATTCAACGTTGCACATTGGTGTTGGAAGTGAGACCCTCCTACATGATAGGACACTAGTGTAGAGGCAAATAGTGTTAGGAACACTACATGAGAAGGGGGGTGAGTTATACTTCATCTCAGAGTCTGGGCCACTCAGGTAAGTGTCGCGCACCTAAGGGTCGCACATGTATGCGTGCATGGTGTTGTTTGTCCTGTTGGGGTACTTCTGGGTCTCTTTCCTACTCCTCTGAAGTCTTGGTTGTGTGCATTGGTGTGCTTACTACTTACTAACCTGCTGGATGTAGAAATGAAGTATCTTGCTTTGAAAGCCACATCTTTCTACAGTGCTTTGTCTTTTCATTTGTGAATGGATGTAGTCTGTAGGTTCTCTCTTGAAGTTGAAATTCGTTTTTCAGTACGGTAGAGGCAGAAAGTAGGACCTTGAGGTACTCTGCTTGGTTGGGACTTGGTCACGACCTACTTGGGACCCAGTGGGACCGGGCCCAAACAAGAAGGGCCCCTGGGACCCAAATCTGTTGACGCAGTCTCACTCTCTGTTCTGTTCTGGGATACGATAATCTTCTTTTTTATTAGAGCCCTCGCTGCCGAGGGGATCTCGATTGAGATGCTTTGTCAGACTAATGACACACAATCCAATGCTTGACCTGCACCTTATACACCACTCAATTCTCCATTGCTGTATGATGTTACTTGTAGTCTGGTTTGTTGTACTTTGACGGTGCCGGTTGGATTAGGCTCAAGGGGATCTTGTACTTGGTCTGACCGGACTTGAACGCGGAACCAGAACTGTCTTCTGAACATTGTATTCTTTGATTTGTTTTTATTGGTTGCTCTCTAGTCCAAATATTTTCCGCTCCGGCTAGGAGTTTTATCTTCTTCTCTGTACTTTGTTTGTTTCTTTTGCTGAAGTCCACTACATGCCCGTTGAGACGCGCGGACAAAAGAGAAGAGTGAAAGAAGTCATGGCAACAGAAGGAACTAGTGGTTCCAACATGGCACCAACCAAACTTTCGGATATGTTAAAGCCCCGCATGGATGCAGCGAATGAGAATGATAGACCGTTGTATGAGGCCCTCTATCAGAAAGAGATGGTTGAGGAGGAGAAGGCAGAAGAGGAAAAGCGGAAAACAGTCGCTGATGAACTTGAGGCCATTTTTCAAACGGTTTCGAATGTATCTGATGCAGACCTTAAGAAAGATCTGGTTGTGTATGTACGTGCTCTTGTTGATTACCACTTGCTCAACGAACTTCAAAGTGTGAAGTCCCAGTTACTTGAGGAAATGAGTAAGATGCGTACTCAAATGGCAGTCATGGCCAAAGAGCACCGCGATCAGATCCAACAAATGGCAGCCATGCATCAGTCCCCACTCTCAAGTTCTCTTCTTGTTCCACCTTTGCACCCCTCCATTCCTCTCCTTCTTCTCA